AACACATATATAAGTTACAAATTTTCTTAGATTAGAAGCCTGAGATAGGGCATAACCACATGGATCCTCTACTAACCTAGGGTTTTGGTGTCACAACCCGACCAAGAGCTTAAAATTAACCCAAGACGGATACAGAAGGTCTGGCGGTAGAGATCAAATTATTCTTTAACTAATATTTTAATAAATGAAAGACCCACTAAAAAATGAATTAAAGTAAAACAATTAAATTTTACCCATTTCTGATTGTCCACGTCTTCTATAGACATTTTTTTGCTATTATTAATTTTTTAATCAAATAAATTAAATCTAAAAAAATAGTTTAAAACAACTGTAAGCTAAACAGAGCTAGTGAATAGTCATACTCCTAAACTATATTAATTCAATGAGAGAAAAGACAATATGCATGCCAATTATATTGTGTAAAAATATCAGAGCATTTTGTCGTTCGTACTATCTATCTAACATGATCATTCAATGTTATTTTAGACAGTTATTGTAACACCCAAATTCCATAAGTTAGGTGAAGTTTGACCAATTTTAACAGTATCGCGTCCTTCGAAAGTCGATGGAATTATTTTTATAAAATTTTATGTGAGAAATCGATCAATTTGATATAAAGTAATGTATGTAAATTATGAATAGTTTGAGAGATATAAAAGTTTAAAGTTATAAGTATAATGAAATTAATTAATCCTTAATTAATTTCTAATCCCTCAATCCTGCAGCACTGTAGCTAATTGACCCATGCATGCTTGCCATTTTGTTCGGTCGAATAAGGCTTTCGTAAGCTCTGTTTCTCCTTCCCTTCACCAGAATTTCCCTTCTCCTCTTCTCTCTCATAAGTTTCCCCTCCTTCACGGCTACAGCGACTCGGCAAGCGTCTGCGACCATTGCTACAGTGCAAGGGCGAGCATGCGTGGCTCGGGCAGCGCACAACGAAACCCCAGCTCTTGTTTTAGGCTTCTGGGCCAAATTCGAAAGGTACAAAACTAATTTTAGCGACATTTGAGACTTTCATTTCCTTTCTCTTTCATTTTGAAGTTTGCTTCTTTTTTCATGCATTTCTTCGCGTTTCTGGTAGCCGCCAGAGGTGCTGAACTTGTGTCGGAAGCGTTAAAGGTGGTTTGCGACCTTCCGTACGAGCTTTAGCACGAAATCAACGAAGGAGAAGTAAGTTTTGAGGTGTTAAGAAGAGTTGGGGAGAAGAATAGGCAATTTCGAAAAAAACAAATAAATCTCGAGGATTTTATTTGAGGTATGTTTTGGGCATAAAAGTTATGTTTTGGGTTAATGCGTGTTATGAGCCAAATTTTATGAAACCCTATGTTGCATGTGAACCTTAAGTTGTTTATAGGAGGTAGTGAGCTCGGGACGAGCGAGTAGGCACTCGTCGTAGGGCTGTTCCATCAAGTCAGATGAAATAATCTTGTGTTAATTTAAGAGAAATAATCTTCTATAGGTTTTCATGTGATTAAAGTTCGATACTGATGCATTTAGAAATTCTTGCATATTGTGGATGTGCACGGTGCACCTGCAAGTGGATGTATTAATGCATGTTGACTTTCAGATTGGAGCAACGAACACCGTTGCGAGTAGCCAGGTGTGATTTGTACAGTTTTGCACTGTATTGTTTTGGGAGCCGTACAGATTTTTTGTGTATGTATTTAATTTATATTGGATTTAATAGCTTTGTATAGTTTATATGTTTTGAGAATATGATTTTTTCGCGTTTTCGAGATTATGTATAAATGAGTTATGAAATGCAATGTATCACATATGTTTGCGACAATTTAGTTAGATTAGTTCATTACCCATAGAGTCATAATTCTGCATGTCAGGACGAATATTGATGAGAATTTAGTCTGACCGAATTGTTTATCTTTGTCGCACCTCAGCCGACCCTTAAAGGGGGGTCAGTTGGGGTGTGACATAAAGTGATATCTGACATTGGCTATTGTTTGAAGAGAAAGCGTGTTTGATTTAGAAGAAGTACGATAAAATTAAATATGAATTGATTTATACGGAGCTGTCTGTGGATGAATATGGGGTGGGTATTCCATACAACTTAAGGTATCATGCATGCACAACACAATTATATTATAAATTGCATTTCAATAATAGATTGTGCCAATATGGATGAACATGTTTGAAGAAGAATTAGGAAGTACTAAGGGCTAGTCTTGTAAGCCAAGTATAGAGCAAGAAATAAGATCTAATTATTTGTTGGGCAGAAATGATAATTAGAACAAAACAAATGAAGAAATTAGAGCAGTTGAGCTACAGGACATTGTGTAATTGGTGTCGCAAGTGGTCGATTAAATGACTGCTATTGAAAGATCCTCCACCAATATTGAGCCCATATTTGAAATTGGGGTAAGTAGATTGACACTTGAAGATATTATAATCTTTCAAGCCACTTGCATTCAAGGGTGCCGTGGCCCCACAGTTGTTGAAGATTGGCTATTGAAGATCGAAAAAATTCTGGATAGTATGATTTGTCTGTAAAATAGAAAAGTTGTACTAACTACTTTCTTGATAGAAGGCGAGGCAGAAAGGTGATGGAAGACGCATTATAGAGAAAAATTTTAGTTGACATTTTTTCCACAAATTCAGTGGGAAGAATTTTTTGAAGTCTCAAAAATTGGTTCATTCCGTCTTCAACCAGATTAACACTTTAAGATAATTTATTCAGTCTAACTCAGGGGTCCAAGACAGTTATGCAATATGAGGCAGAATTCACTTATCTTTTCAGATATGTATCTCATTATATAAACACCTAGAAGTAAAGTGTCACAAATTTCTGCGCAGTTTCATAGACTAGTTGAGGTTGACTTAGCGACATTTGAAATCAATGATTTCTCAATACTTATTGAAAGATTTCAGAGAATTGAAAATGAGTTGACCTTTTCCAGTCGGCAATGACAATCTCAGGCAAGCTAAAGAAAAGTCTTTAGCAAAAGAGAAAAAATTCAAAGCAAGAGAATTAAATCAAAAGATAAGCAAAGACAACCCCAAGCAGTGTTTAATGGGAGAAGGTGTTATAAATGTGGATAATTAGGACACATCTTTAGATGGACTGCCTTACCTTAAAAAAAAAAAAAAAGAGAGAGCGGACCACTGATAATTCAAGGATAGGGATAACCTAAGAAATTTTTGGAAGACAAGCGGTTTTGCAAAACTCAATTTCTAGAAAAGCTTTCTACTTAAACAAAGGGTGAAACTTCAGAGTGTAGAAGCGAGCAACCAGTAAAAGGTCGAATTTTTACAATTACCCCACAAGAAGCTAAAGAATCTGAAGAAGTGGCTACATTTACGCTCCTAAGTCATGACTAGCTTGACATCGCTCCATTTGATTCAGGTGCATCTCATTCTTCTATTTCTAGTAAGTTTGCTTCCAGTTTACTTGTTGATATTATGCTTTTTATTCATGTTCTGTGTGTTGTTATGATCTCAGGAAGTGATTTTTATGTCAACAGAAAATGAATAGTCCATGTAGATGTTCATGATAAGAGGTTGCCAACATAGTTGATTATCATACAAATTTTGACGTTCAATCATATTGAGGATAAATTAGTTGGTAAATCATTTTGTTGCAATCAAATGCTGGAAAAGACGGGTCAAACTGAAATCACCTGATGAAAAATCATTCTATATCATATGCATAATCTTCCCTGATTAGCGCTATGAAAGTGGGAAAATATTTGCGAAGTGGTGGACTGGTATTTTTGGCCAAATTAGAAGTGCTGAATAAAGTTGTACATGAATTGAAGAACATCCCAGTGGTTTCAAAATTTTCGGATGTATTTATCGGAGAATTGTCAGGGCCACCACCTGAACGAGAAGTTAAGTTTTGTATTAATGAAAATCTAGGGACATTTGCAATATTCAAGTATTTGTACAGGATGACTCTGAAGGATTTCACCTTGGAGTGCTCGAGTATTGTTTGTCAAGAAGAAAAACGGATCCATGTGGTTATGTATTGATTATAGAGAGTTGAACATGGTGAACAAATGTCGTTTTGCCCATCTATTTGATCAATAAGAAGGCGCTATTATATTTTTCTTTTCTTCTTCATATAAGAATCTATTTATTTGTTATTTTTAGATTTTATTGCAGTTTTTGCTGTGTTTATTTTTAGATTTCCTGTGTGGATTCCTTTTCCCTTTTGTAGGGTTGTATTTGAGGAGGGGGTGGTGCTCCGACTGTATCCTACTCTGACATGGTGATTGTATCATCCCTTTTATCATTCCTAACTTTTCTCCTCCACTTCCTTTAGCCGCCGACCACCCCAACAGCTTCCCCTAGCACTGCCGACCCTCCTTTTTGCTGCAGCAACTTGCTGTCCAGCCTCTTAGGTCCCTTCCGATAGCCAACCGACACCCCTAGAGTAGCCCACCTTATTGTCCGAGCCTCTGTCCTCCCAACCAACATCTCCTCTATTCTTTCCAGCACTCCCAATTGACTGCTCCTCACCCCACTTTCGTTGCTCTTGCTGTCCAACACCTTCTAGCCACAAATTGCTTGTCGCCAGTCACCTACGACCCTTCATACTTGCTGTCCTCGCTCTCCTCGCAATTTTGCACCTTTCCCTCATTGCCATTAGCACTCCCTTGCTGCCACTACCCTTGCCAACCATCTCGAACCACCTAGTCAACCTCCATTGCCTTTGAAATAAACCTTAGAGGTGTTTTTCTGTGTCGTTTATATTTTGTGTTGCAAACCTCTCTCTACATTAATAAAAGCTTGTTTTGAGTATTTCATTGCTTTTCCCTATTTGGTTCCAGTATCATTTTGTGTTAGAGCTAACTCAACCCCAAGCTCTATCCTAGGGTTCCGTAGCATCCGCCATAAACCAAAACTTTCATTCTTACCACCAGATTTTCTTTTTTATTCCCTAATCTCTAGCCAAGCCATCATTGAGATAAATACCTGAGCCTTCATGGTAGGAGATACGACGAGAGATCCACCTATTTCGGCGGTGGATTACGAACATGGAAGATGAAGTCCAGTGGGCGGATACCCTCAATCGTGATCCGATATGTCGAAGGGGGAATGAGAAGATATGAAGATGAAGCGGGAAACACATCGCCAGTTCTTACCACTTACTGCTGCCAAAAATTGCAAATTCTAGCTTCTAAAGTGTAGGGATTGCATCACCAAGTGACCCCTCTTGTTACCATCCAACGAATCCAATCCGCAAATCTGTCACAGCCAGAAAATATTGCAGTGGACACATTGAAGCATAATTCACAATGAGGGGAGTGATCTACTTCACTAAGCAGGGTGCCATTGAAGAGTTGGGTAAAGACATCACAGACAATGAAAACGGTGATGACATAAATGAGGAAAACTTATTTCGAGTTGAGTGCAATATACACTTAGTCTTAGCTGAGCACAAGCAGGAGACACCACTAATTCTAGTTGACCTCGAGATAGAGATTCTAGCTGAGGTAACAATCACGTCTCTTGGAGGTAGGAACCTGGATTGATTGATCATGGCACTGATAAATTGTTTCCCACTGTTTGAAGTGGTAAGTTGGCACCAATAAGCTGATGTTTTTTGTACTAATGACTCCAACAAAATTGAAGTGCATTGTGATTTAGATTAGGGTTCAAGTTTTGATACATTGAAATGATAATTTGCATGAAACTCACATGCCTGGCTACATCAATCTAAAAGACAAGTTTCTGTGGGACAGGGAAGCGTACAAGACTTTCTGATCCACATTACGGTGCACAAACATTCCAGATTTTTAGTTTTGATTTGAAGGGCTACTGAAGCAAAGTAACGAATTCCAAAATAACAAAAACTGAAATAACATATTGTCTGGAACCCGTACTTCTCTAGTCTTTTTACAGCTAAAAATTTGAACAAAAACTACTTCCCACCTCATTTCCTATCAAGACAGTTATAGTAAGTATCTGAAAATATTTCATAACAATCCAATCTTAGAGAAGTACATTTTATTATTATTATTTTTTGTGGATAGTGTGATTTCAATGTTCATTGACGCCACTAAGAAATAATAGCCTTTTTCATTTATTTTCCTTAATCAAAACCATTATTAAAACACTAGTAATTCTAGCTCATGTCACTCCTTTCTTTATTTTCTTTTTGATATTAAACATTTTCATTAAAAAGCTTTCAGGCATTATGTTTTTCATTTGCTAGTCCAACTTCTTGTTATTTATTTATTTTTTGTTCATTTGCTTTTGAGGTAAGTAAAATTTAATATTTAAAATAGAGTTTCTGTGAACGTTTTTCCAGGACTGTAAGTTATTGCTGATATACATCCTCTTCTTCACAGTGATGCAATAATTTTTTAAAATTGATTTTTTGTTGTATTTTACAGGCAGGATATGTTGGTGAAGATGTTGAGTCAATATTACATAAATTGCTAACGGTAGGTACCAAATTTCTGTAATGTATGCGCTAAATATTCTCTAATGGAATTTTTTTCTTGCTCCTTTTTGAGGCAAAATATGTTATCTAGATAAAGATATGTGTATAATAAGAGCTTTTATCATGAAATACCATAGCAGAAAGAAAAACACAGCAACATAAAATCTGACTATTCATTTTTATTGTTTAGTTTGAAGCCTAATAAGCAAAGTTGAGTGGCAATAAATTTTCTTCTAATTTCTTCCCCTTCTCATTTAAAGGACAATTTTTTATCTGCTCAAGTTTCAATAATCTTAATGCTCCAGTCAGAATAATAAACTATTAATTGTCATTCTATTCACAATTAGGATAAAGGATAGCGTTTCAAGAACTTGCGGAGTATCCTTAGTAATAACATCGATAATTGATGAAGTGATAAACACCAAAAAGTTAACAGAAGGAGGAACATCAGTCCCCATCTCTAGTAGTGGATTTGATCCTGGCTTCGAATTTCAAGTACACACCTAAAAAGATGAGGGGAGATCTTATACTAAACTAGAAGATCATTATGAGCACCAGGTGGAAAGAACTGCAACTAAAATATATATTTCCATAGCTCAGGAGGAATTTTGAAGCATATAGAAAACTTATGCTTAAAAATATGAAAATAGGAGCAATATGAAGAAGTATTTTCAAATTCCGTATTTTGTCAATATCCAGATGATGTCCCAATTCATATCTCCTTATGAAAAATGACCATTATGTCCAGTTCCATGAAGACTAGCAACAGAAGCTTTAGTAAATCGATTGTAGTTTTCACTTATAATGCTTCTAAAAAATAGAAGCTAAGGAGAATAAGATAGATTAGTTGAAGTAATACACATGAAATCGTGGAAATGAAATCTAAATAGGAGTGATAGAAGATTCCATAGAGCTATCAAAATGAGGGATAATTTTTGCATGAATATCGTTAGACTATTGACATAATATAAGATTCATAAGAATGTAATTTCAAAAAGAAATTATGATGACACGGTGCAAACGTTTTAGATATCCTGGGTCTCATGTTCAAAGTGATGATTATATAGATGGGGGTGCTATGAGTAGAATTTAAGCTGGTTGGTTGAATTAATGGAATGCATCGGGCTTATTGTGTACTGCTTAGTGCCTGTTTGGGGCCGCTTATTACCGCGGTAGGCGTTCTGAAAACGCTCGGTAAGCGTTTGTTTCACGCGTACAAATGAAGGTACGAATTCGCTCGACGCAAGTTCTTCATTTTTCGCGGCCGCCCATCGGAGCCTGCTTTCCACGTTTCATTCCAGCTTATTACCCTTGGAGCCCTCGATCTCGTCCCCGAGCCCTTCTCCTCTTCGATCCCAGTCGCGATTTCTCCCAACCCATCCGGTTGCGGTCCAAGGCGGAGAACCCTCGATCATTCGTCTCTGATTCGATCACGATTCCTTCAGCTCTTGGCGACGAAGCTGTCCTACACTCGAACCGCAGGACCTTGGCATAGTTGTGCTTCGGCTCGTGATAATTGAATTACTGTTGGTTCTAGTATTATTTTGATTCTCTTTGCAAGTAAAGCTTGATGGTATTCATTTCCTAGCAAGAAGAAATTGAAATTTGCGCTGTCATAGTTTTGTGGATGTTCCATTTTATTGATTGTTGTTTTGTCTTTGATTGTTTGAGGTCGCATAGAATGGAGAAACAAAGGCTGCTGTGGGAGATAATTTATGTTTAAATTGTTTTGATAGTATTTTAAATCGTTCACACCTCTTTTATATATGGGAAATATATATACATCGTACATAACTTTTCAGTATTTATATATGTGGCATTTAAATGCAGATACACCTCATCCTTGACCCCTTCTATTTTTGATACCTAAAAGATTTTTGTGTCCTATATTAAACTTTGAGATGTATTGTGCATTTTATCTTGACACTATGACATGAAAATATGATGATTTGAAAGAAAGCAAAAATATTTCACCTAAATGAACTGTTTTGTAATGATTTGCGGGTTATGTTTTATCTATTTTTGTGCTCATATAGTTTTGTTGTAAACAACTTAACAAAATATGGGCAGAATGGTCATTTATCCTACAACAGCTGTCAGTAAGCTGTTCTGAATAAGTTGCCCCAAACAACAAACCAACTTATTCTGATAATCTACAGATTATCAGATTATCTGATTATCAGAATAATCTGCTTATCAGTAGATTATAATAATCAACAGCTGCCCCAAACAAGCCCTTAGACTTGAAGTAAAATTTTATAAGAGTGGTGAGACCTGTAATGCTTTATGGCGCAGAATGTTGAAGAGAAGCATAAAACAAATTAAGTGTTGCTAGATGTGAATGCTTAGGTCGATGAGTAGTTTGACACTTAGAGACAAAATTTGAAACGAATATCCGTGCAAGGGTTGGTGTAGCTTCAGTGGAGTGTTGGTGTAGCTTCAGTGGCAAACAAGATTAGATGGATTCCTCTTAGATTTTTGGTCACATTAAATGTCTACCATCTGATGATCCAGTTAGGAAGGATAGTAGATGTGTTAGATTCGACTAATGTTAAGAAAGACAGAGGTAGACTTAAAAAAATTTGGGCGTATTGTATAAAAATTGATCTTAATTTATTAGAATTAAATGAAAACTTGACGCTGAATAAGACACAATGGAGAAAACTGATTCATATAGCCGACCCCACTTAGTGGGATAAAAACTTGTTGTTGCTGTTGACAACATTTGTGAGTGAATGAGCTTAATAGAGTAGTGACTAATTAGTTCAAACTAAGAACTTGCGAATTACCTCCCTGCTTAATTGATCCATGAAAATTTGCCAATAAGTGCGGGTGGGAGGCTTGACAAGCACATATGTTTTCTCATTGAAAAAAAAGGAAAGCTTGTTTGCCTTGTAAAGTTGAAAGCTAGTCATGTTGGTGTGTTGTTGAATTATGATGAAAGAAAAGTGGACGAGTGTTGCGTAGAGAAGGAAAGAATTTCATTGCATTCAAACCATGAACTACAAAAAAATAATTGCAAACAAGCATGGAAGTTGAGATAAGGATGCTCAATGATCAGAGAGGAATAAGAAAAGATGCCTCCAAACTATTTTGGGTCACCTAAGAATTAGGTGGCGACCTCACATGAGGGTTAGACAAGATCTTGGGAGAAGTCATTGTAGGAGAATGTGTGATAAGAAGCGCTCTGATGAAATAGGCAATGTGGAAGAACCTTTACCAATTTGCAATGGAAGGGGCTGAATGCAGCCACCTTCGACGAGAGAGAAGATAAGGTTTCTTGATAAGGGATGCCTTAGGTACTATATAGATTGAGAGCTGGCGGGATGCTGACATGTCGATGCATGAGGAGGTATCACAAAAACAACTGGCAAAATTAAGAGCCAAAATCGGTGTTAGGCCGCTACAGGAAGGAATTACGAAGGGCATGGAAGGAGATGCCAATTCGGATGGCACACTGAATAAAACCACATAGAAATGAACCATGTGTGGATGAGACATACATTAGTGTGGTCGTAAGTGACACGTTAGAAGGATGATGTTTCCACCCAACCCTTGCTACGTGAATGACATCAATATGCCATCATCTCTGATTAGATTTCTGCACATGAAAATCTTCTTGTGCGAACACATCTAATGTTTGTCTCCATGTGCGAATGACTGCATAAACCAAAGTTTAAGTTTCCCTAAGTTATGTGTGTAAACTAAAAAAAATAGGTGCTGTTCGAAAACAAATACGTCATGTGCCGGGATTTCAGTATAAGACTTTTGTTTCTCTTATTCTTTTGACCGAGCGTAAAAGAAAGCCGGAGGGAGCGAGAGAAAGGGAGAGCGTGAAAGATAGAGGTATAAGAAGAAGCAGCGACAGAAGGAGAAGAAACAGCGACAAAAGGAGAAGAAGCCGCGACAGAAGGAGAAGGAGATGAAGAAGTAACGATAAAAGGAGAAGAAGCAATAACAAAAGCAGAAGTAGTGGAAGAAGGAGAAGTAGCAATAGAAGCAGAAGATTTGTCTGCGCGGAACGAAGCCGAGGGAGATGTGGAAGACATTTTGTAAGAAGGAAGATGACATCTTGTTCAGTTGCTTATAAGGTGGGGTAGCATCATCTTTGCGTGAGCAGCGAGTGTCACGACTCGATCTGGAGCTTCAAATTAACTAAGATGGGTACAGACGGTCGAACGGTGAGAATTAATTTTTTTCTATTTATTTTTTATTACTAGCTATTAACAAATGAAAGAGCAACCAATGAAATTAAATTAAAACTGTACAATTAAATTTACCTCATTACAAGTTGTTAGCATATTTTATAAATATTTTATCTTCTATAGTTCATGTTTTAATCAATTAAGTACACATAAAAAAGTTAGTTTAAAATAACAGTGAGCTAAACAAATCTAGTAAATACTCGTACTCTTAAACCAAAATAATGCAATAACAAAGAAGACAATATGTATATCAGTTCAGCTTTATATAAATCAATCTAAAACATGTGAAGAGTTGTACTATCTGATATGATCATTCAGTGAAATTCTAAACACTCACTATGTCTTACTATGTCGTTGACATGTAAATATCTTTTTAATCTATATGCATCCGTCAATGAGCACCATTTAAATTTGTATCATTTAAAATACTTCAATGTCAATATTTTTTTCATTTATGTGTACGATTACCTTAGCGTTTTACCGCTAGTACTATAAATAAGTAACTCCATCATAGTTAAGTTTGCACATGCAAGCATACTATGAAAATTATTATTTAATAATGATTATTTCATTCTCATTTGCATAACAATCAATATACTTATATAAAATTCAATATTAATGATAAATTTATTAGGACACTAAGTGCACATTATTCCTGCAATATGTATAAAACTTCAATAGACTCATAAATCATGAGTTTATAGTGATTTCAATATAACTAGTGTCAGTAACAGTAAATGTATTTGGTCTAAAAGAAACAAAATATTGTCATAATATAAGAATATGAGTGCTCACC